CTCGGTAGAAATGATGATTATTCTTGTCTTCCATCTAAGCTCTTTGTTACTCGATAGAAATGATGATTATTCTTGTCTTCCATCGAAGCTCTTTGTTACTCGGTAGAAATGATGATTATTCTTGTCTTCCATCTAAGCTCTTTGTTACTCGATAGAAATGATGATTATTCTTGTCTTCCATACCGATAGAAAGATGATTATTCTTTGTTACTCTTTGGTAGAAATGAAAATGATTATTCTTGTCTTCCATCGAAGCTCTTTTGTTACTCGATAGAAATGATGATTATTCTTGTCTTCCATCGAAGCTCTTTGTTACTCGATAGAAATGATGATTATTCTTGTCTTCCATCAAGCTCTTTGTTACTCGGTAGAAATGATGATTATTCTTGTCTTCCATCAAGCTCTTTGTTACTCGGTAGAAATGATGATTATTCTTGTCTTCCATCGAAGCTCTTGTTACTCGATAGAAATGATGATTATTCTTGTCTTCCATCGAAGCTCTTTGTTACTCGATAGAAATGATGATTATTCTTGTCTTCCATCTAAGCTCTTTGTTACTCGATAGAAATGATGATTATTCTTGTCTTCCATCTAAGCTCTTTGTTACTCGATAGAAATGATGATTATTCTTGTCTTGTCTTTGTTCTCGATAGAAATGATGATTATTCTTGTCTCTTTTTACTCGATAGAAATGATGATTATTCTTGTCTTCCATCTAAGCTCTTTGTTACTCGATAGAAATGATGATTATCTTTGTCTTCCATCCAAGCTCTTTGTTACTCGATAGAAATGATGATTATTCTTGTCTTCCATCTAAGCTCTTTGTTACTCGATAGAAATGATGATTATTCTTGTCTTCCTAATCATAGAAATGAAGTCTTCCATCTTTGTTTCTCGGATAGAAATGATGATTATTCTTGTCTTCCATCTAAGCTCTTTGTTACTCGATAGAAATGATGATTATTCTTGTCTTCCATCGAAGTTCTTTTGTTACTCGGTAGAAATGATGATTATTCTTGTCTTCCATCGAAGTTCTTTGTTACTCGGTAGAAATGATGATTATTCTTGTCTTCCATCGAAGCTCTTTTTTTGTTACTTTCGAAGTTCTTTGTTAGAAATGATGATTATTCTTTCTTCCATCGAAGCTCTTTGTTCCTCGATAGAAATGATGATTATTCTTGTCTTCCATCTAAGCTCTTTGTTACTCGATAGAAATGATGATTATTTTGTCTTCCATCGAAGCTCTTTGTTACTCGATAGAAAATTATTCTTGTCTTCCATCTAAGCTCTCTTTTTACTCGGTAGAAATGATGATTATTCTTGTCTTTCCATAGGAAGCTCTTTTTGTCTTCCTCGATAAATGATGATTATTCTTGTCTTCCATCGAAGCTCTTTGTTACTTGGTAGAAATGATGATTATTCTTGTCTTCCATCGAAGCTCTTTGTTACTCGATAGAAATGATGGTTATTCTTGTCTTCCATCGAAGCTCTTTGTTACTCGGTAGAAATGATGATTATTCTTGTCTTCCATCGAAGTTCTTTGTTACTCGATAGAAATGATGATTATTCTTGTCTTCCATCGAAGTTCTTTGTTACTCGATAGAAATGATGATTATTCTTGTCTTCCATCGAAGCTCTTTGTTACTCGGTAAAAATAATCGGTGTTCTTCATCTGTGCATTATTTTTTTTCTTTCTGTAACACTAGTGGAGAACAAATTAATGGATTTGCCTTAAAGTCGATTGGCAAAAAGTGAAAGCCTCTTCTGTGTTCAATTTCAATCAACGCTGAAATACAATCATGATTATTGTTTCAGTTTTTCCCGACCGATTTTCTGCGTCATTCTCTATGAAAGCGAATGTAAGTTTCGAATGATTCGTTTTAGAAATTCTACTTTTGATATCTTCGATTTAAATAAACAGTTATATAATGTACAGGGTGCGATGGATAAATTGTTGCAATTTTATATTTTTCATTTTGTACATGCGCTTTGTGTTTCATTCTGTCGACTGCACAGTATAGTAGGGCTAGTTGGGCACAATCGGTGAGAAAAAGAGCACCATGATGCAATTCACTCTGCCAGAAATTTGGAAACGGCATGCTATACTGCTAGGCATTCATGCCAGAAGCTCCAATATGAACATTTCACTTTGATCATTCTGTTAAAAAAAGACTCCTGAATTTGTTGTTAATGGCAAGAAACTCAACGCGGAGGCCTGCATCAAGTAAGTTGAAGAGCGTAGTGCTGCCCTGACTCAGGAGGGTGGTTACTGGAAGATCCTATGTCTGGCAGCATGACTCTGCCCCATGCTACACAAGCAGGAGAACCCAGTCATGGCTGCCAGACAATTTCTGCAATCACACCAGCCTTACATCTGGTCACTTAACTCTCCAGATTGCAATACCCTTGATTAATATGTGCAGGGTACAGTTGAACGAGAGACCAACGAAACACATTGTAGCACCAAATATGAATTGAAGGCAAGGATTATGGCAGCATAAGAGTTGCAAGAGATTCCGAAGTCGCGGTTGAAGCCAATGGCGATTTTATTGGATAAATTTACTCGGTATTATTTCAAGATATTTTTGTGTAATTTTCGTAAATATATGTGGTAAAATGAGTTATCTGTATTATTTTCCGTTTTGCATCATTTACACGACAGTTTATCCATCGCGTCCGCATAGGTGTGTGTATGTGTGTGATATAAACTGTTAAACATTCAACTGAAATACTATTCAGCCAAACGCAGACGGGTTGTGATTTTTTTATTTAATATAGGGCATAATATCCTCTTGATTTAAAAATAAAAACATAACAAAAACGTACCAAACACGTTAGTAAAAGTGTCACGTGAACAGACCGATCGTCGGACGATGCGACGCCTGCTTGGTACATTTTTTTCACACCCACACACACAATGTCTTTATTCTATCTATCTATCTATCTATCTATCTATCTATCTATCTATCTATCTATCTATCTCAGACTGTTGTTATTCATCTATCTATCTATCTATCTATCTATCTATCTATCTATCTCTGTCAGACTGTTCCTATCTATCTATCTATCTATCTATCTATCTATCTATGTCAGACTGTTCCTATCTATCTATCTATCTATCTATCTATCTATCTATCTATCTATCTATCTCTCAGACTGTTCCCATCTATCATCTATCTATCCATCTATCTATCTATCCATCTATCTCAGACTGTTTCTATCTATCATCTATCTATCTATCTATCTATCTATCTATCTATCTATCTCAGACTGTTCCTATCTATCTATCTATCTATCTATCTATCTATCTATCTATCTATCTATCTATCTATCTATCTCAGTCTGTTCCTTCCTATTATCTATCTATCTATCTATCTATCTATCTCAGTCTGTTCCTTCCTATCTATCTATCTATCTATCTATCTATCTATCTATCTATCTATCTATCTATCTCAGTCTGTTCCTATCTATCTATCTATCTATCTATCTATCTATCTATCTATCTATCTATCTATCTATCTACAAACAGGTTTGTTTAAAAATCACCGACAAGGTCAGTATAACTTTTACTGCATTTTCCTATTTCTGAATATGGTGTTGAGTAATTGCACTCAATATGGTGGATAAACTGTCCGATGTTCATATTGTGTTATTGTTTTAGTATTTTCGACAATCTCTGTCATTTCCAAGAACTATTATCTATGCGGTCGTTGGAATACCTTTGTCTACACCCTGGCATTTTGGGAACTTTGAAGTAGTCTACAATGATATCATATGTAATGGTTATTGGGACGAGGCCTAACCAAAAAGAATGCGATTATTTTTACTATATATATATATATATATATATATATATATATTGATGCGCACATAAAATATATCATATGCACTCAAGATACCATTTCCCGTGGTGAATGTTATTTTATTTAATTTATTTTTTTTATACTAATATCTTCTAGAGTTTTGAATTTTTCCTTGTATTGTGTGCTGTAGTGTATTTTGGTATCATTCATTAATATGTGCACGGATTGCACTGAGTTTCGACAGGTGTCAGGTCAATCTGCGGGAGCGTGTGATGCATGTGTACCAGATGTAAGAATTTAATGCTGTTTTTTATTATTGATTAAAGAGGTGCAGAATTCTAGTGGTCATGAAATTTCATAGAAAACTCTATTTTTACACAGCGGGTAATTTTTCTTGTCCCGTGTTGTTGATAATAATTACATTAAATTATTTAAAGTTTTATGGTAGATGATAAATCCTATGCTTTTGTTTTGTTAGGAATATTGAGTAATATGTATCAGTGAATTTTTCTAATATTACTTAATATCGAATTAATATCTCAAACCATTAACTTAATAAAGAACAAACTGTATCCTTCAAGTTTGGTTCAAACTACCACCTCCTTTCCACCTTCAATCATAATATCATAATATTCAATATTAACAATTATTTTGAAACTGTCCAACCTTTTTGTAATCCAAGGTGGTTTGAGAGTGGGGGTGGGTTGGTTTGGTTTGTTTTATGGCATATCAACCTAAATAGGTTATTTAATGCCGACAAATTGTTTTTCCTGGTAATATTTTTTGTCAAAATTCTACAGCTGGTAATATTATTTTTAAAAATATATTCCTGGGAATATTTTTTTCAAAAATATATTGCTGGTAATAGTTTTTTTTCCTTCAAAAATATATCTCTGGTAATAATGTTTTACAAAGTATTTCTAGTATTAAAATCTATTTTTACACTTTCTTAGCGCTTTTTACCTCAGTTTGAGGGTTAAATATTTGCCCATAACTGGGACCCTAATAGGTGTTACCACCGTGGGTCAGAGTGGACCTGGGAACACCAGTAATTAAGAGGTGGTTTTTACGTTCTTCAAAACCTCCTGATCAGAGGTCTTGTTGTGGGACGTAGTTTATCGTCTTACCCTGGACGCGGATATAGTTTATCGTCATACCCAGGACGGTTGAGAGTGGGGTGGGGAGATGAAGAGGGAGTTAGAAACATAGATAGATAGATAGATAGATAGATAGATAGATAGATATTAAGAGACTCAAAACTCTTTACTAATTGACATAACTGTCTGCTTACTAAAGCCTAACTTATATCTTATCTTGTAACAAAAAGAGTTCGATGATTCATCGTAATTATTTAAGTTGAATATCTTGGCATTCATGTAAGGAGGCAAAAATCATTGCCGTAGTTGAAATGAAAAGCCTAAGGTGTGGCGTTTTTACAAATCATGAGCCTCAAGATGACGTAGGCGCGGCAATTCAACTCTCTGGGTAATGCAGCGACTGAGAGGAAATTCGAAGTTTCAAGGAAATCGCAGATGATGCAAGTTTAGAAAATAAATGAGATATTAAGGAATCGGAAAAAATAACATTAGAAAACAAGAAAAAACAGTTCTGTATTGCTACGTAGCGAGAGAGAGAGAGAGAGAGAGAGAGAGAGAGAGAGTAGGAGGAAAAAGAAGAATTTTAATGGTGAGTGAGAGATAGAGAGAAGGGAAAAGGAGAAGAATTTTGATGGTGTGAGAGAGAGACTGAGAGAGTGGAAAAAAGAAAAATTGATGATGTGGGAGAGAAAGAGAGAGAGAGGAAGAAAAGGGAGAAGAATTTTGATGGTGAGAGAACGAGAGAGAGAGAGAGAGAGAGAGAGAAAGAAGAATTTTGATGATGTGAGAGAAAGAGAGATAGTGAGAGAAAGAAGAATAATTTTGATGGTGTGTGAGAGTGAGAAAGAGAAAAAGAATAATTTTGGCGGTGTATAAGAGAGAGAGAGAGAGAGAGAAAGAAAGAAAGAAAGAAAGAATAATAATTTTGATGATGTGAGAGAGAGAAAGAAAGAAGAATTTTTACGGAGTGTGAGAGAGAGACAGAAAGAAGAAGAATTTTGATGGTGTATGTGTGTGTGTGAGAGAGAGAGAGAGAAAGAAAAAATAAAAATTTAGATGGTGTGTGTGTCTGTGTGTATGTGATAGAGAGAGAGAGAGAGAGAAAAAGAAAAAAGAAAAATTTAGATGGTGTGTGTGTGTGAGAGAGAGAGAGAGAGAGAAAGAAAAAAGAAAAATTTAGATGGTGTGTGTGTGAGAGAGAGAGAGAAAGAAAAAAGAAAAATTTAGATGGTACGTGTGTGAGGGAGAGAGAGAGAAAGAAAAATTTAGATGGTGCGTGTGTCTGTGTGTGTGTGTGTGAGAGAGAGAGAGAGAGAGAGAGAGAGAGAAAGAAAAAAGAAAAATTTAGATGGTGTGTGTGTGTGTGTGTGTGAGAGAGAGAGAGAGAGATAGGGAAAAAGAAGAATTTTGATGGTGAGAGAGAGAAAAAGAGGGAGGAAAAAGAACAAAAAATTTATGGTGAGAAAAAAAGAGAGAGAAAGAGAGAGAGAAGAAGTATAATTTTGATGGTGAGAGAGAGAGAGAGAAGAAGAAAAAGAAAAAGAAAAAGAAGAAGCGAAGGAGGAGGAGAAGATTTGATGGTGAGTAAGAATTCTGCCACTCCACTAACCAAGGTTCTGATTTCCGGTCAGCTATTGTTTAGGATAATGAAGGCGTGAAAATGCCTTCGCTTGATCTTTGGTCAGTGTGTATGTGTAAGATTTTTTTTATTTGGTTGCAAACATTTGGGATTGCCCAGCCGATGTAGTTACATTTTCTTTGACAACAGTTGATGCATGTGTATGTATATTGGATATAACTTGGCTCTGATGATAATGCGTGTGTATTTGCGCCAAAGGTTCCTCAAAAATTCCTTTTTCTTTATTTTTCTTTTCCTTCCCTCAACAATTTCTGCCTTTTCTCCGTATTTTTTTTTCTTTTTGGTCGAAGATGTGTAAGATTATTTTCTTTGCTTTTTTTGTGTAAATTTTATCCCCACTACATTTTCCTCTAACCTTTCTTCCCGACTGCTGTGCGCATGTGTCAACTATTTGCATGATGTCTTCTTTCTTTTCCTTGGCTCAAGGCAACCAATTGTGTTACAACGCCCACGCTCGAAACGCACTCCAGTATTTAGTTGCAAGACTCAGAAGAAATTTCGGAAGAGAGTTAAGTCAAGTCTTAGGCGCCCATATATTTTATTTTCCTACTAAAAACCCTCGTTCCAGGATGACCGCAACTTGAGGAGACAATGTGATGTCTTTCAGGAAATTTATTCTCTTTTTTTGACACAGACAGTATTTATTGCCTTTCTACGGGGATGGTGACGCCATCACTTATCTTACTTTGAGCACTTAGTCACTTGCTTCACAATACCACATCTACTTAAAGTGGCTTGATAGATCAATGATTGTAATGGGAAAGTATCGATCTGCAAATGTCGTAATTTAAAAAAAAAACTATGTTTTCCCATTTCCAACTGTTAACACATAGCCTTATTTATCTAAATCTCTGTCCGCTTATTAGCTAACACTGTACAAATAACCTTACATGGGCAGGAGGTATTTGTCGGAGTTAGCTCCTCCTCAGCTCCTTAACCCTTCAACAGGGGTCTCTCTCCCATGGCTATAAATAGTGGCTGACCCTTCGCCTCGATCTCTTTTTCCTCAGGCCTTCTGCCTTATACCACCTCGCAGATGTGAGCTTTCACAGATACAGCGTTTCCCAAATTCTGGGAACACGCTAAGAAATATACACGTACGTACGAACACTCACCACAACACAACACACACACATAATATTGACCACGCGCACTCTGTCCATGTAACTTGTAACCTTTCTTGTTATTAATACATATATTTGTTTACATATATTTATCGGTCTTGTGTTTGTTTTCTTTGGACTTAATTAAAGTCCAATATTCTCATGTAGTTGGACCGGCTGGCAGGAAATTCTACCCACATGTGTTCTTCTACATACTCATCACCCCACGGTCCGCTACATATTCTTCCGAATTGAAAATGAGTCCCGTGTGACATTATTTTCCTGTCTCTGCCTCTTTATTTTATTTATTTTTTAAAATTTCAACCCTAATTCCAAATATTGGTGAAACTTTCTTATTTGATTGTGTAAATGTTGTGCGGATCAGGTAATGAATAACCGCTCGGAATGTGAAATCGGAGAGCAGAGTTCGAATTCCAGTCGAGTTCGTTACATTTACTTACGCGCAAATAGCATTAGAAAAGGCATGAAACCATCTCTTCTCTTCTATCAGCTATGTGCTAAATAGTAGAATTTGTCTCTGGAATAAATCATTGTCATCATCCAAAAATTGTTAATATTATACTGATCCGAAAAAAAAAAAAGAATTATTCTTACGATCAAAAATACGTTTTGGCGGGCACTTCAATTAATGTTCTAGTTCCACGTGCCATGTCTCATGGATGGTAAAAAAATGCAATGATAACAGAAAAAAAATTGCTGATGACATTATGTTTATAATACCCAGAAATTCATGCACAGAAGTCCTCAAGGACACATGGCACAGTCAATAAAGGCGTTAGTTAGATCCAGTGACAGCACCCAAAGAATGTGAGTTCAATACCTGGTTAAGAGCGGAATTAACAGGAGATAACAGATAACTGATAACTGACATCCATTGAACTGTCTACCCCAGCGAGCGAAATAAAGGGTTCAGTTCAACATTCCAACCACTTGAAGAAGCCTGGAGCGTACAACGGCCGAAACGTTGTAATAAATATGGTGACAAAGATGAGGACAATAGTCCGAATAATGTAAATAGTGTACATAATACCTCATCTCAGAAATATAGACAGATACTGAAGGGCCGAAACGTTGTAATAAATATGGTGACAAAGATGAGGACAATAGTCCAAATAATGTAAATAGTGTACATAATACCTCATCTCAGAAATATAGACAGATACTGAAGGGTCGAAACATTGTGATAAATATGGCGACAAAGATGAGGACAATAGTCCGAATAATGTAAATAGTGTACATAATACCTCATTTCAGAAATATAGACAGATACTGAAAGGCCAAAACATTGTAATAAATATGGCGACAAAGATGAAGACAATAGTCCGAATAATGTAAATCCTGTACATAATACCTCATCTCAGATACTGAAAGGCCGAAACGTTGTAATAAATATGGCGGCGAAGATGAGGACAATAGTCCGAATAATGTAAATAGTGTACATAATACCTCATCTCAGAAATATAGACAGATATATGTAAACCTGTTGTACCACATCTACGTCGCAGCTAACCTTTGTCAAAAAAGCAAGTTATGGAAAAGCGAAAAGAGATGGTCGGTACGTAACTAAAGGATCACATATTCGCTCACGTACACGCACAATCAACAACTAAGAAATCCGGTGGTTCAAACTGAGAATAAAATAGTCATTTATTTTTATTAATGATAGTTATATAGACATATATATTTAATTAATTATCGAGTCTGATAGAAACCTGAACAGAATGCAGAAAGCACTGGACGGCCGTTTCGTCCTATATTTGAGACTCATCATCAGTGCGCATCCACTACCGAGAATTGAAACCCGTACAGTTAGGTTTTCAAGCAAACATCATACTAATTGTTCCAATGGGCCTCGGTGACGAAGAGACTGCAAATCAGACTCAATATAGCGCCGCTCGGTCACATATTCCGTGGTGGAACTCTACTGTGTATATCATTGCTTGAACCGGCTTCTAATGCTCTAGAGTGAGCGGCTTGGTGAATGTAGTCGTGGCTCCTGGGGGCACATTCCTATGGTTAGAGAAAACTCAGTAGAGTTCCAACACGGAATATGTGAGCGAGCGGCGCCATATTGAGTCTGATTTGCAATCTCTTCGTCACCGAGGCCCATTGGAACAGTTGGTATGATGTTTGCTTGACAACCTAACTGTCAGGGTTTCAATTCTTGGTAGTGGATGCGCACTGCTGATGAGTCCCAGATATAGGACGAAACAGCCGTCCAGTGCTTTCTGCATTCTGTTGAGGTTTCTATCAGACTCGATGAATTAAATAAATATAATTATCAAATCCTCCTAATAATTACTATATATATATATATATATATATATATATATATATATGGCAGTGATGGATTACAATATTTGTAGTGATTAATTTGTGAATTGTCTGCCTTAATTAAATTCAATATTGAATCATGCAAATGATTCATTTGCTTCAATCTCTAGGTTAAAGTTGTTCATTCATTGTACTTTGAAATCATCTCAATTCTTTGACCCTGATACTTACTCGGCTTAGTATGATATTTGACGTGCGACGATCTTTCAAATAGGGAAAGCCTGCTTTTTCGAAGATCAACATTTGAAACCCGAGAATATATCAGAGTATAATTAAAACTGGTCTAGCATAAAGTAAGAAGTTGAGACTATCTACTAATTCATGTAGCAGATCTCGGGATCTGTTTTTGGAGCCTCCCTCTAGGGGGAGATTTTACTGCGCACTCACTGATCTGATACTTCGCTACCTGGTTCAACTTGTTAACAGTTTGACAACAACCTCTTGTTCTTCCGGGGAGTCATTTCTCCCGCCAACTTGCAGCATTTGAGCCAGATCCAATGTCATACCTCCTCAGTTGACCCTCGGCTATCCACTTACTTTTCCAGTAAATATTAAACATATATCCGCAAGCGTGTGCCTATGTATATCCTCTACAGCCAACCTCGAGGGAAATGTTTAGCCTGCTATCCTGCTTCTTCGCAAACATCCACCATTTTTTCGTTCACATTTCATCAGGCATCAGTGTTGTCCCCATGTGGAACTATGAACAACCTTCCTCATGACCCACCCCAATCAGGTTCGTCACATTGAATGACGAGCAAATATCCTTGGAAATGGGATGAACCCATCTCCTCCCTTTAGGTATAGGATAAATAGTACGACTTGTATCTTGAAAAAAATCATTGCTATGCTGAAAAAATTGTAAACCGCACCTATGAACACTAATGTGTATATCCCAATCCCCATAAATACGTTGGACATTATTGTAAATGCGAGTAATATGATGTCTATGTAGTCCACCACTAGCAGTGGTTTACCTACTTGACGCCGCTGGCGAGTATTGTATTTTGTTGATGTTTTAAAGATTACGATTTCATTTCCAACCTCCGTTTTGGTTATTCCCCATTCAGTAACCCTTTCTAGGTTACAACAAAATGCAATATTCATTCACAAAAAATATTATTCTTGCAGTCCAAATTATGTTTTGATTTTAAATAGTCCACAAAGGGTTGATAAGCCGTAAAACATCAATCACTCAACAATGTCGGCACGCTTCTTAGCTAGAAAGTTATGGGATGGTTCCAGTCTACACGTACCTAGAAAATCAACATTTGAAGTTTTACCCGGGCTAGAACACTGCCCCATGGGTCCAGTTGCTAGTATTGGCCCCATAGTGCAGTATTCCATCACTCAGCAGGCTGTGGTTTTAGCATTGTCATCACAAACACACACGGCAAAGAGAGAGAGAGACACACACACGCAGAGAGAGAGAGAGAGAGAGAGAGAGGGAAAGAAAGAGAAAAATATATATAGAGAGAACGAGAAAAAAAGAGAGAGAAATATATATAGAGAGAGAATGAGAAAGAGAGACAGAGAACAAAAGAACGGGAAAGAGAGAGAGAATGAAAGAGAGAGTGAGTAAGAGAGAAAATATATAGAGAGAGAACGAGAAAGAGAGAGAATGAGATAGAAAGAACTTAAAAAAGAGAGAGAAAACAAGAGAGATAGATAGATAAAGAAAGCGAGAGAGAGAGAGAGAGAGAGAGAGAGAGAGAGAGAGAGAAAGAGAGACAATACTGGAGTGTTTTAGCATATATTTTCCAGATACGTTTTACATAAGATTTTTATGCTTGTCAATTCTGGCATCTGTGATTATCAAAATGTACATTTGTGTGTCGGTGTGTAAATCGATAACTTCGTAATCCAATTGACAAAAGGTAATTATTTTAGACTATAAATATTGATCTTTAAAGATAATTTCCTTCCTCGTCAGTACAGATAACAATTCTCCATTAATCCTTCCAAGCGGAGCGGCCAAAAGTAAATTTAATAATACAAATTGGCCATAGAAAGGTATACGCTATTGAATCATCTCCTGTCCCAGAACGCCTTGATTGTGGCAACGACATGATTCAAAAGTTGTTGCTTAGTAGGTGATTTTTAATTAACAGATGATCGAATTTCGATACCATGAAACCAGGCAGAGACTTATGAATACCTATAATTCTTTGCCAGTTCCTCTTGACTCCGATGACGAATTTGAAACTGAAAAATAGATTTAATTTCAATAATGACTTGGACTTCGATAGCAGTGGCAGTCGGCCAAGTGCATGCATTTACAAAATATTTTGCATTTTTGGCAATTTTACTGCATTTGTTTTACATAGAAAAGACCCGTCAAATATTCATGAGAAAATATAGCGTGAGCATAATCTTCTTTGAATATATATATATATATATATATATATATATATATATATATATATATATATATATATATATATAAAATATAAATATAAATATATATATATATATATATATACATACAGGTGTCTATAAAGTTCGTATGAACTTTAAAAAAATTATAACTTTATTTGTATTTGCGATAGAAATAATCTGTAAAAAATGTTATAAAGTTTAATGTACCTAGTTTTAAGTATAGCTAAAATAACTAATGTGATTTCAGGCATTACTGTAAATCAGTTGGCAAATGTTTCCCATGAACTGCAAAAATGTGGTATCGAAGAGCTAACGTGTGTAGAAAGCTCTCCAATTTAAATTTGAGTTAATTAAAACTGGTAAAATTTACGAAGTAAACTCACTCGGCGGGAGAGGGTTATTCACATAGCAAGAACATTGTACAAATTTCAGATTAAAATTTGCGTAATACCTGTATCAGTCATTAGCATTATCGATCCATCATATTGTATATATGTATACATCTATGTTTATTTATATGCACTGATATATTTTAATTAAGTTTGGACGCAATATGAATTTTTTGTTGTTTTGTACATCATCAACAGCCACATTTGTAAAATGTTATTTGCATACGAAGAACAGATTACTAAAATTAAAAGACTTAAAAATAATGTCGATTTGTTTAATAAGACTTGTTTACAGGAACCCTTGCTGCCCAAATATATATTTAATTATTCTATATTTGCCTAGAATTTTACCTTCTCGTTCCTATTTATTAAATGTGACTAAATTGTTTTCTTTTTTTTCTGATCTCAGGTCGCTCTTCAAAGGTTTTCATCAAGAAAATCTATTATATCTCGAAGCAATGGTTTTTACTAGAATTTTCGGGTAATTTGCAGTGCAAGCCCCGAGCTAAATTCATTTAGGTGTAAATTTACATTCTTTCTTTTTATGTGCCATATCCAATTTAGAACGTAGGTGATCATGTCTCTCCACCTCCTTCTATCCCTTGCAGCTCTCAACAAGTTCCTTCCCTCTGCTTCCTCCCTCCAGACCACGTTCTGTCATCCACCTGCTCAAGATCGTTAGGGATGTCACGCGCTGCTTTCCTTTCTCTCTTTCTCTCTATTCGATCCGTGAGTATCAGATTCTCCAGGCCCTCCTTTCTCATTATGCGTCCCAGAAACTTCAGCTGCGTTTTCCTTATGTTAAGCATAAGCCTCCTCCTTGTTTGCAACCTTTCTAAGATCTCATCATTGCTCACACGCTCGGTCCATGATATCCTTAGCATCCTTCTGTAGAATCACAGCCTCGAGCCTCTTCTTCATCTTTGAGGAAATCGTCCAACATTCGCTGCCATAAAGAAGAACAGATGTCACGTAACAGCTCGGTATTCTTTTCTTTGTTACCAAAGAAATCCTCCTGTCTCTCAATACTCTGCCCAGCTTTTGGAATGCGTCCTTAGCCATCCCAATATGCCTATGGATCTCAGTGTCGCACTTACCGTCCTCTGTCAAGACGCTTCCCATATATTTAAATTTCTGCGTCTTCTTGATTCTAGTGTTCCCTACGTGCCAATCGTATTTCGGGATCTTCCTCTTACAGATGACCATGCATTCTGTTTTGTAGTTTATGCTTAGCCCTCTCTTCTCACTCTCCGTCGCTAACTTCTGTAAGAGATTTTGCAATTTCTCTTCTGTGTCTGCTATATAGTACTTACAGGAACAAAAAACACATAGTTGACTATTGACAGGTCTAGTATGTAACGGGGTTCTACGGTAGAAATACCAGAATCCTAAAATGTTGATTTCAAAAGAACTGAAAACATTCTTTCTAAAATCACATCAACAATTTTCAAATAATCAGTGTTTATTGTTCTTTATTTTGTGGGGTCGCTTACATCATCCCATCAGGAAGACCCTCGTGTTCACATTAATAAAAACAAACAGAGAAATAACATTAAAAGAATGTTAAATTCTAAATGAAAATCATACAGTTTTATTTATTCCTGTGTACTGGTTCATGTGTATTTTAGTTAAGTGTTTTAAGTGATAAAAGGAAGAAGTCACTTCATATTATAACAAGCAAAGCCCCGAAGAGACGAGATAGACGTCCTGACACTTCAACAGTCGGTACGGTAGAGAATGAGTTCAGCGTTTTTGCTGTTTTTTTCAGACAGGAAAAGTTTCTGTTGCATTCTGGGAGAACATTCACTATTTTGGTTTTATTTAATTTGTTTTAAAGAAAGTTTTAATGTTATTTGTTTTATTTTATTTATGATATTCGTTATTATTATTATTTTATATTTTTATATTTAATAACAGTAATGTCCCTACAATATCTCCGTTCAACTGTAATGAAAAACGAAAGTTCTAATTTTTAAGGCCTTAATGAAGAGATGGAAGAAAGATCATTTTTTTACCTGACTTCTCGTTTTGTATTTTATTTCCTGTAACTACACATGCTGAAAAACCGTTTACAAGAAAATAGATCCGATTTTTTTTAATTTCTGCCAAATGAATTGATATCAGTTGAGGCTACATGAAGTTTTCATTGAACACTAAGAACACAATAAATGAAAAACAGACAAAAAAGTCAAAAACAAATTTGAAAATAACAAACAGTACGATCACACATACTCAATATATATAAATATATATATATATATATATATATATATATATATATATATATATATAAAGAAAAAACAGTAAGATATATAACCCGGTGTTCTTATACATATTTTTACTTTTTACAAAATAGTGCTCAATGTAAATTTACAGAGCATTAATATTTTGACTCCAAAATTCGCTTGAGGATGAAATGGAACTAATGTCTTCAATTTAATTACAAAATTAAATTGAACTTTTAGCTTCCATTTTTTGAAACATGGTTAGAACTGTGTAGCGAAAAAAATATTTTAAATCAATTAATTAATTTATATATATATATATATATATATATATATATATATATATATATATATATATAATATATATATGTGTGTGATGAACGGTGTATGAGTCTTTTAAATTCCAACTATCTATCATTATTTACATTATTCGGAATATTGTCCTCATCTTTGTCGCCATATTTATCACAACGTTTCGGCCTGGTTTTTCCGGTTTTCAGGTGGTTGGAATTTCGAACTGAACCCTTTATTTCGCTCGAAATTCCAACCACCTGAAGAAGGCCGGAGCGTACAACGGCCGAAACGTTGTGATAAATATGGCGACAAAGATGAGGACAATAGTCCGAATAATGTAAATAATGTACATAATACCTCATCTCAGAAATATAGACAGTATCTATCTATCTATCTATCTATCGATCTATCTATCTATCTTTGTGTGTGTGTGTGTGTTCTTGTGTGTGCGTGTGTGCGTGCGTGCGTGGTCTAACGCTGAACGACAAAGGGAATGGAATTGCTATAACAGAGTTAAAACTCGTGCTAACAGAGTGTATATTTGCTTCGGGCCGATAGTCTTTGGAAAAGCATGAATTTGCTTCTTCCAAGAGTAATGGATAAACAGCAGGAGAGTGTGATTTTTTAACATTTCTGAAGTATTATCATCATCAATGAAATAATTGCTCCAGAATCCGCTGACATCAGTGAAGCTTTCTTCAGAAATATTTTGTCATTGTGGAAGTAAAATCCCCAAGTTATATTAACATGAGCGACATAATGAAACTGGAGACAGGGTCATCACAAATACTACGGCACGTTCCTGTAACGCCACACAGTTGTAATATCATTAAACTTTTATTCGAACCTTTATTCTCACCTTTGTTATAGATTTTATTACAGACACAAGGTTTCGGTTGTTTTCTCTGCGGTCATCTTCAGGTATCCATTTTTATATAGTTTATCCGAGTTGTTACTTATGTTATTTGAATTCGATTTATAGAGCATTAATTTTGAAACAAGTGAATTCACATAATTCACATAAAGTGAATTCGCGTAAAAGTTCATTTTTTAAATATAAGTTTAAGATAATTTTTTCAATAATAACAAACGTCTTGTTTGTTATTATTCCAAAATTATCTTGCTTGCACTAAATTTATATTTACACATACACTCAATTAAATTATATATATATATATATATATATATATATATATATAATAAATTAACTGATTTAAAATATGGTTCCATCGCTACACAGCAATTACCATGTTTCAAAAACAGAAACTAACAACTTCAGATTCAGTTATATAATTCCAAAATTCGCTTGAACAGAACTAATGCTTTTAGTTTAATTATATAATTGAATTTGAAGTTAGTTTCTGTTTTTGAAACATGATAATTCCTGTGTAACGATGGAACCCTATTTTTAAATCAGTTAATTTATAATATTTATGCCCTGTAAATTTACATTGAGCTCTGGTTTG